ACCACTCCCACACACCCACTCTTTACTCTATGGAACATAACTCATGCGAGAAAATCGTTTCAGCTCACGGAAAGGCTTACTAATCACCGAAAAATTTACGGACTTGCTCTTTTGTCAAAGCATAAACCCACAATCAAAGCCCGCGAACCACGGAAATTGAGAAGCGCTTGGAGAATCTGATATCAAGCTTACGGGCAATTCAGTTAATTAAAAGATCTGAATAACTTACGAAATTCACATAGCCTTTTAAGCCACTGCTTTCATTTGAGAGCATCGCCAGCGGTAATGTTTGTTAAAATTGTCCTTTCTTGAGAGTTAAGACTTGAACGTTTAGTCATTAAAGCGATTTGTGAAGCTCGACTCTTCTGTTTCGTGGAAGTCGCCCGGGATTCACGATCTTTACTCTAGACCACACTTTTTCAGACACGTCTGATGGCGATATAAGCGCATCAGAGAGGAGTTAAGGGATGGCAAATCAGGATTGAGTTTCACTTAACATAAGATATTTCAAACTATACCTTATCCTAGTTTTTTTCCGAGCAAAACAATTAAACAAGTCAAAAACAAGAACGGCATACGATATCACGACATCTAATTTCTCCGCGTTGAATCGGTGCAGATTTGCAGTCTTTTGAACTGAATAAATTCAATTAGTTCATATGGCTTTTCACTTGCTTCTAAACTTCCAAGAAACGGGTGAATGTTTATTTTACAGTGATGAAACTGCATTAATTTGTGGTGAGAAGAGTAGAACGTGAGATTTCCTCATAATTTCGTTGCTGATGGTTTGCTAAAAAGTACAGTTAAAAATTATAATTAACTAAATAATTCCTTTGGTCTATGGTTAAATCTTTTTATTTCAAATCTGTCGTTCCAGTTTCGTAGTTTTCGCATAGGTTCAGTTATAAAATATTGAAAATTGTCTGCTGTGCCTATTAACGGCGATCGACCTTCTTTTGACTGAACACTTTATATAAGACGCACAAATCATGATTTTTCGCCTTGTCTGGAGAGAAGAAGTTCTGTTGATTATGACTGTCTGTTCTTAAGGAAAATAACATCAAAGTGTATTAAACTATCAACTTCTGTTTCTTGTTCAAAACATTTGGCGGTCAGGGAATTTCTTCCTCAGGTTTCATAGCTGTTAAGGAAACCCTAAATCGGATAAAAATGATACATAGAGGGAATTAGTGTTGTTTCTCTTCTTAAACACTCGGTGTTGAAACTACAAACTGACAAACATTGAAACTGAATGCGCAAATTTATTCTTGTGTACAAATTAGATAATGTTTCTCTGAGCATTTTATCTCAGACATTAGTCGTTCTTAAGCCCTTTGATTCCTGATAGATAAAGAAAAAAAAAAAAGAACATAACACTGGTTGTGTTTCTGTCAAAGCTTGCTCATTTTTAACGTTCGTTTTGGCTCGCCTACTCCGTCTGTTTTTGAGACTGTTTGTGTTGCTAAGCGGTTTTTTTTTTAATTTTTAGCGCCGCCGGTTAAAAAAATGTGAATTGCATAAGAGGATTAAAAACAGTTTGTTCCTGACGATGTAATTAACTGATGATGCCGTTTTGCAGATGATGCCGTTTTGCAGCTTATGGTGATTTTTATCGTAAAAAAAACCAAATGAACCTTTTCAGATAGCTGATTTATCTTAAACTTTCAATTAGAGATCAACTTGTAAAGATGCCGTCAAACGAGACACCTCAAGCGAAAAAATGATGGCCCGTTAGTCCACATGCATGTAAGGGAGCTTCAATCACATGATTTTAGACAGAGATTGGAACGAAGAAAACATTGTGTCCGTGGCACCGCGAGCATATGCTTAGGACATGAAACACGAGGCCAATTTGTTTTTGTCAAACAATGGATCTCACAAATCCGCTTTACTCCTGAAATGATCTAAAAGATGCCGCTTCAGCGTGGGAGTTTGGCTAAAAGATCACTTGTGTGGGGTATTCATCACTCTCTCCTCTGTCTTAAAGCAGGAAGTCTTAAGGTTTTTGTTGCTTTTAAGGCCTCTAACATGAAATTTGATAGAGAAGAGGCAGTTCTTGATAACAATTAAGTTACAAGCGGATCTTATCTGAAAATATTCCTTGATACCACTTAATACGGCTTATGCTCATCGTATTTTTCACTGTCGTTTAACTTCGAATATTGATTTAAAAACTAGATAGAGCTGGACACAATTTGTGCAGGAGTGCACTTTGTCGAGTGTACAAAGCTATGAAGTGGTGTATTTCAGGGTTTTCCAAAGTTAACGACGACCCTTTCTAATACTAAAACGCTCTATAAAACTAAAATAACATTTAGTGACATCGCTGTTCTTTTACTGATTTCGTATCTCGAATGTCGACGCACTCAGTTCTCCGCTTATGTCGGCGCCGTTTAAAACGATTAGCTACCAAAACAAATAAAGATTAAGAGATTTGGCTTAGAATTCGGAGCAAATTTACTGATATTTTTTACACCATCTTAGCCTCATAAGAGTTTTATTTCCCTCCTTAAATGCCATTATGTCACAGAAAAGTTACAGCATTTTTAGTCCATCTTGACTCAGTTCATTTTTATAATTGTTTAGTTTTAAAATGAAAGTCTTCCGAGAAATAACCTTTAGCTTAGAGGCCAGCAAAGTTAATTCACGCTTAAAAATCGTTGAACTCTCGAGCAAGCTGAACGCCTCATGGAATAATTTCCCGTTACCCGCCAACGCAGTCAAATGGAAGTTCAATGTTACCCTTTTTGACATAGAAAATCATGGTTAAAAACAGTAATTAATTTAATTTCTCTCTGATTTAAAAGAAAGTAGATCTGCTCCCACAGCATTAAAAGAAAGTAGATCTGCTCCCACAGCATTAAAAGAAAAAAAAAACTAGATAAACAGAGGAATGTAATCTGTTCTCAAAGGTTTATTTGCAATGAAGGTGAATATAAAACTTGTCTCGTTCGATATCCTTTTTTTTTTATCTAAAGTCAGTTTCCTTTCCTCTACTCCTACTTTTTCTATCGTTTACATGTTGTGCGTCAAACTCGAACTAAACTACGAATTCATCATTTCCCTTAATTACAAAGAGAGTGCTGATTTTGTTCCTTATTTGATTGTGATCCTGTGAAATGGCGTCACTCCATCTTCGTCAATGTCTCTAGTTCAACCTGCAGGGTCAAATTAAATGAATGCGATAAAGTGAGAGAGAGTGTCTCGTGCAGTGACGAAAAGTTATTTGGTGGGTGGACAGACTATAAACTGTAGCTAGCATAGCATGCATGTGGTGTTAGTGGATCTGCCCACAGCATGTACGGGGACGCTTTACACACGAAATATCTATTATTCAGAAGTAAAATGTCACTAATTTTCTGCCCTTTGTGGTCGTAGAAGTTACGTTTACGCAGGCCAGAGAAACTCTAATGCGATACTTTGGGGTTTGGCCTATCTACCTTGACTACTTTAAAAAATTTCAATCGGGTCACCCTGAAATATTGAATTCATGAAACTTTGCACCTGTGATGTTAATTTAGAACTATATTTCGCTGTTAAGAAGGTGTGATAATACTGATAAACAGAATTTTAGGGCCAAGTACTGAACCTCTGGTATCAAGGTATGGAAGGTTCAGTTCTGTTCTATTGAATTTTAGCAAGAATGGTATATGAGTCTAGCGTTTTAATCTTTATACTTCATATACAATAGCTTACATTATTACGATGGTCTAAACCGCCTGGATTTTCAACGTGAAAGCTATTCCTCTTAGAGGTATCGTGTTAGTCCAAGGGAATCTCAAAAACCACGTCGAAATTCCTGTTCAATCTGAACTGCTTGCTTTTAAGAGCTTAGCTACAGTGTTAAATCTATGATAAAAAAAAAAGTTCTGATTTTTTCACGCTACACAGTGTATGTTTTTTATGGGAGCTAACTAAACCATAAACAGTCTCTTGCAACAATTACCCTTCACAACTACAAAAATTTTTACATGAAAAAAAAAACCTGGAACATGGTTTATCAGTTGAAAGAATTAACTTGACATTTCAAACTGAAAAGAAGTTGAAAACGAACGAGTGATCGCAGAAGAGAAACTTCTGCCATCTTTCATCCCAAAGCACCAGTCTGGCTTGAAATGAGTACACTTCTCTATTTCATGATCAGTAAACATGTTTCATTAGTTGTCTTCTTTAGTTTCCTCGTTATGATGACCTCTTAAACAGCAAATCACTTAAACAACACTCTCGTGACTGGGTAAGCACGTGAGCAAGTGATCGCCACGTGGTGCCACGTGGTAATTCACTTAATATTTCCTGTTCGTCTGAGTTACAAGCTGTTCAGGCGGCATGTTAAATGCAGTGTTTTGTAAATGTGTAGGAGCTGAATTTTAAATTCCCATCGTGTGAGCAGATTTTATCATCTAACCAAATAATCAGGTTATTTAATCGGTTGAAAACAGATGTTCGTAAAGAAAGAGAACATTTCCTTTGTTTTGGATTCCATTAAGCCGGTTATCGACTGCCATTAATGTTTCCGCCAAAATGCTGACCGTAATCCCTTTGTAAAACGTGTAGAGAAAGCTCAAATCTGTTACCTGTAAAAATTCTTTACCAAAAAGCTTTTTACCTTCATACTTTCATAAAGATATTTTCAATTTCTTTCTTGGTCTCGAAATATTATTATAAAAGGAAACTAGAAGCTGGCCATAATCTGAGCCCGCTAACTGAGAAGCAAAAAATATTTAACAACCTAAAACTTTTCGAAGAGTGGACGAAATGAGACACCACCGTCCGATCATAGCAGATACTCAGGAAATTGTCTTGAACAGAATCTTGGGATCCCCTTGAAACGTTTTGCACAGTATCGTTCCGCACGGTCTCAGCTCAATTACGATAGGTGCGGTTGATACGCACTCCACTACGTCCTTAGTCTCAAAGGAACCGCAGAGAGACTGAGAACGAAGCCAAGAAACTTTAGGGACAAAATCTGTAGACATACATGACAAAATTATCCCTCAAAACAACATGGCGGCCACAATTAAAAGAGAAACTTCGTGGAGACGACGCTGGAAACCGAATCTTAACTCCCAACCATGGAAACATTTTTCCATTTCTGGAAAATCATTTTTATTGAAGACCATGTTTGTTGACGCAGACTGCTCTTATGAATTTTGCTTGTGGGATTTCTGCACCTTCTGGTACGAGAAAGTTGAGCATGATGAGTTTGAAGCTCGAGCAAAGGTGTAGTACTTGCATGTGACTTTGCATTTATCCTTTGATATTAAATGTAGCCTTCCTAGAGATTATTTCGAAAACTGGATACCGTAAGTTTTTTATATAAGGGAAAATATTCGGGTACCTCAAGGTAATGTTTAAAAAAAAAATAGACTTATTAAGGCAATGATACTGTAGGACACTACCGTCATTCGTTCACCAGCCGATGTTAGTTGGTGGCCCAGAATGCCTTAGCTTATCCGGGTTTCCATAGCATAACAGTAAAAGATAAGGCCTATACTTCAGCCAGGTGGTCCATCCAGCGAGAGGCTACTCCAGTTTCTGAAGCAGGTATCAACAAGGAGTAAAGCTACTCCCCTGGCTATGATGCCAGCTCATCACTAGCTACCCCTAGGTATTTCATCAACTTTTCCCCAATAGTATGCTGGTGCCCATTTATACTCCTGGCTGGAGAGAGGCACTGGGAGGGTAAAGTATCAGGCTCAAGAACACAACACATTGACCTAGCTACATCTCAAACCCAAACATCTCAATCCTGGCCCTGGTCGATTGAAGGGCAGATAATGCTATCCACTGGATAAATTGCTATCCGGTTGATAGCCTAGTACATTTTGTTGACACTTATCAGCTGGACAGTGATTCATCTGTTGCATAGCGTAATCCCCGCTGTTCTCAATACATTTCCTAAGGGGCTGACAAGGAGAATTTGTTGAACAATCGAGAGCTTCTATCGTTGGTGATCATTTCCTTTTTTTCTTGTGACCTTTCTGTGTGATTTTGGGGGTGATATTGTAAGGAGGAATTAGATGCTAGTCACTCTCAAGGGTTAAGCCTTTCACTCCCAAGATCTAATCAGTAATTCTCCTTACTATCTGCCATACAATT